TACATAGATGTCATAGGACACTGCACAAACCTGATAGTTTTTAGGGTAATATCAGTACATAATGATTACCTAATTTGCATAATTAATTAATTTTCAGCTTTTGATATTTCAAGTAGTAATCATCACATTCCAATGTAATTTGGTACATGGATGTCATAGGACACTGCACAAACCTGACAGTTTTTAGAGTAATATCAGTACATATTAATTACCTAATTTGCATAATTAATTAATTTTCAGCTTTTGATATTTCAAGTAGTAATCATCACATTTCAATGAGACTTGGTACATAGTTACTTAAGGACTGTGCAGACCCCTGATTAGTTTTTGGGTAAATATTTGTGCATATTAATTACCTTATTAGCATAATTAGTTAATTTTCAGCTTTTTGCCTGATATCTAAGTACTAATCATCATATTTCAATGAGACTTGCTACATAGATCTTCTAGGACTATGCAGAGACCTGATTATTTTTAATTGGATATTATTTACCTGATTTGCATAATGTTCCACTGATACATAAAGAACCACAAATTGGATTTTAATGAAACTTTTAAAGAGAACTACGCAGAGACCCAAATTAGTTTTTGGTAAATATTTATGCTTATTAATCACCTAATTAACACTGATATCTCAATTACTGATCATCACATTTGAATAAAATTTAGTACTTAAATGCTCTAGGACAATAGACAGGCCTGATTAATTTTGGGTTAAAATTTGTTCATATTAATTCTCTAATTAGCATAACAATTCATAATTTTTTTGTTCTGTTCATATTAGTTACCTGATTTACATTTAATTAGTTTTCAGCTTTTCTATCAATATCTCATGTACAAGTAATTTTGAATTAATTTTTAATGTGTCTTCAATACTCCCAGTACATGTACATGGGAGTTCTTTCAAAGCCTTCTTTGATTTGTATTTTAGTCGACTGTGGGAACTTATAGAATGACCTACATGTGTCCATGTGCCCCTGTTCTTAAAACCAGATCATGGTCATGTATGAATGGATTTTTTTCAATCTTTGTAGGTACATTGGACATTATGGAGCCTTGATGCACATCATTTTGTTTTTTAAATCAGATTCAAAATGGATGGCTAAATTCACATACTTAACAGATTTTACCGAAATTCTAGAAATACCGTACTGTTATCATTGTGCATCTCATCAGGCACAATGTGGAACCATTTTGACCAGAGATTAGAAATCAATATGCATATTCAAACTCAGAAACAATAAAGTCAAAATTGTTTGCACACAGTCGCACTATTTTCATGCTGCATAATACATCAGACAGTTGTCAATAGACTTTATTTGAATGCAAACAAAACAGACCAATTAGTGACCATGATTTGTGAATAGCATCAAAACACCAATAGGAAAGGCTTTTAGAGAGAAATCTGATATATATATCATTTCTGGTAGACAAGAAAAAATACTCTTCAATGCAGTGCAAACTAGATATGTTTCACACAGTATGCAGAAAATTATGTATTTTAAAAAAACAAGCTTAATTTAAACATGGATATTTTACCTCATACCTAGACAGCTTTCAATTTGTGTGCTTGTGTTTCCTACAAAGAAATGTGATGTTATGATTGCATGGGGGGAGGCAAGGGACAAGTATGATTGCATGGGGGGAGGCAAGGGACAAGTATGATTAAATGTCAGAGACACTGAATTATTGATGAGAATTACTACAATTGTTTTATGATAATTTTTCATTTGTTTTTCAGAATTTTACCGTTTTGTAAAACCGTGTCATAAGAAAGATTTTGATATACTCTGCAAAGGTCTGACAGGACTTGGATGTGGTTATAAACCAGAACATAGTTTACGCAGAGATACATTAAAGAAAGCCAAACAGCATGGATCAAATGGATCAGGTAAAAATCACACAGCAAGGATTT